TCTCATGTTGGGAGGCAGGCCACAGTCATCAGGAGGAGGTTTGCTAAAAACAGCAGAGAGGGGAGAACAGTTAAGCATGGCTGCCGACCACTCACTCTCCAGTCAGCTGTTGATCCCCCCCGGCGGACAAAGGCAAAGCTGCTCTTTCACCAAAAGCCATAGGAACCTTCTGCATGTGACACACACACATATCCTATGTTAAACACAGATGAGATTTCAGCTTCTTTCATCATCACCTTTTTGATTTCCATAAATTCTTCTGTAACACACATGCTATCCATTCACAGATGGATATGGGATTTGGTGGCAGGATGATGTTGACAGAGAAAAGAGTGCGCACTCCTCGTCCAAATTGATATGGATCAAGCCAGAGAGAGCCCTGACGGACATTTTGAGGTTTTCTTGGGTCTCTTGTGCTTAGTTAATTTATTCCATTTGTATACGGCTAAATTAAAAAGTACTGTGATGCAGATGTAGCCACGAAATCCGGTTTACCTGCCTGCCTGCCTCTATATGATCTGTGTGTACATTTACAGTAATCCACATCACGGTCCTCCTAAGAGCTTCAGTAAAAAATCAACTGGACTTCTGCTTGTGGTTCTTAAAGACATTTCACCTCTCATCTAAGAGGTTTCTTCAGTTCTGAACTGAAGAAATATGAACTGAAGCTTCTTGGATGAGAGGTGATATGTCTTCAAGAACCAAAAAGAAAAGTCAAGTTGCTTTTTATTGAATCTCTTGGGATTATCTTCCCATAAAATGTAGTTTTTTTTTGTATGATTCTAGGTGTACAATCAGTTAAGACCAGTGGTAGAAAGGAACAAAGCCCATTTAGCACTCTGGTGCTTCACAACATATTTAAAGTACTTTACTTCCTGTTTTTCCAATGAAACACTTTTCTATATTTTACTGAATTTTGAAAGGAAATATACTCCAATCACTGGACAGCTGTGGATATGAAGGTTCATACGAAACAGGAGCACTTGGGAAATATAATGTACTATTAGAAATTACATTTTGAGGATTGTGCTGATTCTCTTTGTCTTAAAATTAACAGTTTTGTAGTTAGACAAGACTAGTTTAAAGAAAAAATAACATTTTCAAGATGTAAGTTTGTATTTTCGTGAAGAATATATTCAGTAAATTACATTTTAATGCAAGTTATTTTTATTTACAGCTTTAAAGTAGTGAACATTCTGCTTGCACATTAATACAAATAATATTTGACTTAGGTTTTGGTTTTTACAAGATTTTTACTGTGTGGTATTGCTGTCTTTAAATTGTCATTATCCAGCACTGCCCAGGAAATGATCTTTGTTAGGAGCAGTGTACTAAAATGTGTTAATGAAGAGACGATACAACTGAATGTCATCGTGTGATTAGAATATTACTGCACTTTACAAATGTATGGAACAAAGTCTTAAAATGTCAGGGTCAAAGTAAAGACTTGGCAAACTAGTCCTTTACTTGTCCACTACAGATATCAGTCAGCTCCCTAGCAACCAACAATGTGTCTGTAACAAAATGCAGATTGCTTTGTGTACTTATAATAGCACAGGAAACATCTGACAGCTTAAGATTTGCCGGGATCATTCTGCTGCATTTATGTCTTTTTCCAACTGTGAGTCCAAAGGAAAAACCTGTGTCTCACATAAACATACATTACAACAGGAAGCATATCATTTTTAAACCATGTGCAAGAAAAACACAGATTTCTGTGTAGATAAAACCTCAAACGTTTTATTCTGATAATGTGTCTTTAGGTAATTTTTTCACGCTTCATTCCATGCGGACTAGTCTAAACACAGTTGAAATATCAGTGTGTTTTGACAGGTCAGGCTGGTCAGTTGCCTCCTGTTATGCGATAATTCATAATGCGTTAAAAAGCGGTTGCTTTGCCACTTTGGAGAAGCGGCAGATCAGAAGGGTTCACCGGCGGGTCACGGACAGAGCTGTGGCATCCCTTGTGATCTACTGCATTCCCTATAAGTTCTTCAGCCATAACCGTCTCACATAAGCTCATAAACTTCCAGTCATGAACTTTGCAGGGAACGTTTTCAAGCATTTGTTTTCTATCTAAATTTCCGTGCATAAGCTACTTGAAGTGCAGGGAGGACGAACAGAGGTGAGCCCTTAAGGAGTCGAAGGAGCTTTGTGAGATTCATCAGCTTAGAAATTCTTTTCCTTTGACTTTATTGTTTGCTTTTTTTTTTTTTTTGCTTGTTACGTTTAACACATTGTGCCATATCCCCCCTTTTTTCCTCTTTTTTCCTAACATGTTTCATTGTATCTCAGAGGAAGAAGACTGGAATTAAGATTTCTATTCCCAGATTAAAATACTGTGTAAATGATGTTTATGTATTATTAAATGTGAGCTTAGTGATGTGCTGCATGTTGTTAAATTTCACAGAGATGGCTGAATTTCTTTGATTCTCCCTTCAGCACAACCTGCCAAATTCCTGGGCATCAGAAAAATAGTGTTAGATTAGTGTTTCAAATGAACAGATACAAGCTTTGTTGCAAGAAATAATCAAAAGGCAGCATCACCATCAATGAGAAAGTAACAGCGTACGAGTGTAGTGTAGAGTGTTGTTTCTAAGGGCTTTTCTGATCAGACTAAAATGGAAGAAAAAGCGACAGACAGAATCCATTATGTTATATATACATGAGACCTCTGAATGGAGCAGCTGCTCCAGAGTGTAGGAATGCCGGTGATTGATAGCGCACTTGCTGACGTAACCTGCCACAGCTCCCACACTTCTCTCTCTCTCTCTCTTGCTCTCTCGATATGATCAGTATGTAATGCTGCAGCCGTGAGGGAGTCTGGCACACTTTATGCTGTATCATGTTGCAGAGTCAAAGCTGTTTAGGTGCTGTGAGCGCTGATAGCACGGGTGCACATCTGCAAAGGTTGTGGAGATAGAAGGGCTCACTTCATTTGAGACCTGATGTAGTATCCCCACCTCAGTGACTGACACGAACAGAGAGACAGATCAGTTAATATCTGTTGATATCTTGCGCTTTTAATTGAAACAGAACTCCTCATGAAGGCTATGCAGAGTTTGTTGATACACGGCACAAAATTAGTTCCATGTCAGTATTGTTTGGCTCTACCAGTGTCCTATGGATGAATAATATGTCTCTGGATATGTTGGAAATATAAACATTAGTGGCGGTGCATTCCTTTGGCAAGCTTTAAGGCATAAACTGTGCAGTTAGCAGGAATTAACGGTGGCCTTAAAGACGTCAGAGAAAAATCAGACTGACTCCGGAAATCGTTTGACTCACACTTGACTTTAAATACAAGAGTTTTTTGGGTTTTTTAAAGAAGAAAAAATTCTAGCAGTGCACTGTGGTATTCTGTGGTTTTGTGTCTGTATCGCGGCATTTTCGGATTTTATCTCTGAACAGTTGACGCAGATTGTTCGTCAGTTGTGTGATGATCCAGATTGTCATCTTCAGAACACAAAACATTCTTCTGCTCGACCTGAATTTCAGGTTAATTCTATTATTTTCATGACTCTTGCTATGGGATTGCTCATTATTCTTATAGGATTATATCTCCACTTCAGGACTGTAGTGAGTGTGTCTAAATATTTCAGTGGCACTGCAGATGTGCAGTCTTCGCAGGGATTTGCAGAGTTAGGCTTTTGCTAAAGGAATGTACCACATTGATTTATTTTACTGTGCCAATTCAAGGCAATATTTACAATTATAATTTATGTAAATGTGCAACTGAGTTAGGCCGGTGAAATAAATCAATTGAATACATTCCTTTAGTAAATGCACGTCTCTGCAGATATTTGAAGTTACGAGCCGAAATATCAACACAAAGAAAGGCAAATCTTATTTACTTCACACAAAGAACTTCATGTACAATCTCTAGCTAGATAAGGCACGAGTTAGACCTTGGTATTATCAATGTTTAGACTGTCCCTCTGGTTTTTGTGTTTTCAGTACATTAAATAGACTTTTCGTGACTGCACCATGGTGAAATGTTCTATATGTATTTTTCTTACACAGATTGTGGGATTTGCTCTATGGTGGCTCCTTTGTCTGGCTTTAGGTGAAAGGCTGATCTGAATGAAGGTGCATTCTGGGAACAAGCCATTCATAAAATCTGGTTACTTCACTCTGCAGATCCTTGATTTAAAATTCCCCTTCTGGTGAGGTCAGAGGTTAGAGTCCTCGAGACCTCCAGAGCAGAAGTGAATTTAGTGCTTTGCTAAAGGGCAAGTCGATGCGTAAAAATCCGACGTCTTTAAACAGTGTATGCTGCTTTTTAGTCAGTGCATTTAAAAAAAAACACTCTAGCGCTTTGTCCTGCCATGCTGTAAATCTGGAGGTTGTCATTTCGGTTGTCTCCTCCTTGACCAGAGTCGTGGATCAGAAAAAGGCAGCCAAATTCAGGAACAGGAACAGCAGTTCAGCACAGCAGCGTCAAGAGTGAACTTCCCAGACGCGTCAATTGCGCAAAAATACCTGAAATCAGGACGTCTGTCCCTTCAAATTACACGTTGGTAGAAAAATAAACCTTTACTTGATCTTCGGAAATATCTATAATCACTTATTTCTTTAAGAAGACGGCACACAATCTGGTTTGTCAGTGTGGTCGTTGCCTTGTCCAATGTTTGCAGTAATATCTCATAGAAACAAATGTGCGTTAAAATCTGTTTAGTCATCATTGATGCACGTTTGAAAAATATTGATTAACGTGTTTTCAAAATTGATAAAACAGTATTAGGCTTTGTTTTCATTTCTGCATTTCTCCCTGGGTATTCCCTGCAGCAGTCAGGCGTTTGGGCTTTTCTTTTGAAAATTACAAAGGATCGCTCTGCGTGAATTGACGGTGGCGCGCTCCCGTCTCAGCCCGTGTGTGTGTGTGTGTGTGTGTGTGTGTGTGTGTGTGTGTGTGTTTACTCCCATTTCTCTGTGTCTATGCGTCGACATCTCTGCTCCGTTCAGTCTGCTGCTGCTGCACATCCACAGCGGAGCCACCACGCCGAGGAGGCGGACCGACTGTAGCTACACCTCGGCCAGCGGTGCTGGATCATAGCGCTGGTGGAGGAGGGGGGCGGCAGCACACTGTGCTCTCCTTGCCCTTCCTAAACCGTGCACAGCCCCAAGCATCGAGGACACCACCATCACCTCAGCGCGTCCTGGAATAGTTTTGATTTTGTTTTCCTTTTTTCCTTTTCCTTTTTTTTTTGTGCCCAGACGCACCAAGTTGCAGCTGCAGAGGCGCACTTTTCTCCGTGGCTCCTCTCTCCTTTTGCGCTCACAATCCGACATGGAAGATGGTCCGTCTTCAACAAGCTGTTTCAGAAGGTTAACGGACTGTTTCCTGGGTGCAAGTAGGTATTTTTTTGACAAGCACTTGCAACGCGTAAAAAGACGATCTTGGCTGAAATTTACGCATAAAGTAGAAATCGCTTCATGAAGCAGATTCTCAAAACGCGGGCTGATTTGGGGATGTTTAATTTGCACTGGTCCTGCAGGCGTACGTTTGTTTGCCCATTTGTCTTCCCAACTTTATGAATGACAGATTGATAGCTGATCTGAATGGGTGGGGACTCCGTTGGAGGGCCAGGCAGGGCTGCGTTTCTGAGGGGGAAAATGTAGCGTGTGTCTCGGCAGATTTACAATAAAATCCAGAGCGTGGTTACGGCTCCCCGCTCGGGTCTGAGTTGCTCTGTGACAGAGGGGACAGTCAGCAGTTCTGCAATGAGACATGGCATGAAAAGGCGAAGCGAAGTGTACAGCAGGAGCCGGAGTGAGGACACAGAGAGTAAATAGCGTAGCCTGCTGCTTACCCCTCCAGAAAATAAATCTGGAAAATATCTTTGTAGAAATGTGACGGAGAATAATACGAATGATTCTGGGAGACAATATTACTATAACTAGCTTGCATTTTTTTCGGCCATAAAATTCATAGGTTTCTTATTCCATAGCTTAGTTTAGTGTTTTCATGTCAATTTTGGGGGTTATTTAGCTCTTTTTTCAGCACAGTGTCATCCATAATTTATTGTCTTTGAAAAAAATAACTATAAGAAATAGGGGCCAACATAAGAAAAAAGAAAGCTGAATAGTTTTCTATCACTACAGTAAAAAAAATTCCCTATATTCACCAATAATCTACACATAGTTCCTGAGCTTGTCCATGAATTTGGAATTTTCAGTATTTTTCAATATTTTAAAAAAATATTTTTTATCTGGTCCTATTAATAATTATTATATTCATAACTTTATTTAAATTACACCTTATAATGCATTTGTGCTTTGACAGACAATCTTTACAGTAGTGCTGTGGAAACTGTAGAAATTATTGCAATTAATTTTAACAGCCAGTGCGGCACATGAATAATGTCAGCGGCTACAGTTGTCTCAGTGGCACCTCGAGTGACCTTTAGTGGGAACCCTGTAATAACAAGTTAGCAGTTCAAGGCCTGGGATGCCGAATGGTTTCCAAAGTACACACATAGCAGTAAACTGCAGTCATGGAATGTATTATTGAGGTACAGTATGTAGGTATCCTGCCCTCACGCTGACCAAAAAAGGACAAGAATGTCAGATTTCACAAAGCTTCCACCCTCTTTGAATTTACAAAACAACAGTGGATTGGGGTTGGCTGCGGGCGTCTGAGTCGAGTACCTTAAAGTTGTTTCTACTGTAGGATGAGCTGGAATACTTTTTTTTAAGAAAAGACTCATTCAGAAATTGAAGTGAGAAAAAGTTCATCGGCGACTGTCAGATTGTGTTTGTGCGAGTATCATAGCTCACATTTATCCTGCTGCTCGTTTTTTCAAATGTTGTACAGCTGTCAATTAATCTGGGTTAAATGTGGGATTAACATGGCAAACTGTTTGCCTTCTCACTGCATGTTTCCCTTTTGATCAGTTCGGGATCAGGGCATAATTTGATTACACTTTATCCAAGGCTTTCGGTGGTGACAAAAACACATGAACACTTGCAGTTTGTGAACTAGAATATGAGTCATCATGTGCTCCGTATGTTTTTATAGCGCTATTTACACAGACCGCTTTCTACAAATATTAGACATGTGATAGATGGATCCAGCACAGGCCAGTGGAGAGCTTTGGATGTGGCAAAAAAAAAAAAAGTGTCATTTTGTTTTCTGGCAACTAGTGGTATGCTTACCCTCTTCTGCTGGTACTGGACCATCTGGTAAACCCAGTTCAACAGTTTGTCAGGACTTGTTCACACAATTGTGATCAGTGAGCTCATCCTGGGATATTATAGCTGCTTGTGGCTTCGCAGGAAATTATATATGCAAATGTGTTTGTGTGCATTGTTTGTGGATAGCTCTGGCCAGTGAGGGAGGTCAGCCCGGGTCAGCCCTAATGTGATCTCTCAGGCATTTTCAAACCCAATTGGCTGTCGACGGATTGCTTAACTCGGTGAAGAGGGCTGCATTGTCAGGCAGGACGTGCTCACGTTGGACATTTCCTGCCCCACTGCATGCCTTCTCTCTCACACTTCTCCCAGCGCAGGCACGAAATATATAAATACACGGGCTGCTTGATATGATTGGAATATGAAAATTAAAGTCTGATTGAAATTTGAATGACTAAATAATTCCAGGCTGGACTAAGCACATGCCAAATAGTTTCTCTCTTTGTGATTTGTCTCCAGTGTTGATTTAAACTCTCAGGAAATTCAAGCCAAAGAAAATGAGCTCGTTATGCAGTTCGAACCCCCCATTTTTTTATGTATTTTTTTTATGTCCTGATCTGAGCGGGGCTGGATCGGTGCCAGGGCACAGTGCATAATCTGAGTGGTGAAACAGATGACATTCTCCTCAAGGCGTCCATTGACCCCTTGTCAGCTTGTCATGGGTTAGTATCTGAGAGGATGGGAAAAGGCCACATGCATGTAGATTTCTTTACAACTTGTCCTTGTGTCAAGGCTCATAAAAGAACACGGCACTGGAGAAGATACAAGGATCTGTGGTTCTCATTATTGGGTCCCCACTGGCCCCTCTGCAGAGCGGCTGCAGAGTTCAGCATCAGACCAGATGTG